GACTGACAAACACATTGGCCATGAATATGTATGTCCGTTTGTGGCTCACATATATATGCGATCATCATATGTACGTAAGTCTGTACTGTTCTGTACGTACAAATATATACATATGTATACATTTGTGTGTGGTAATCGATCGTACGCGTACGTCTTCTCGTCCCGGGCCCTCTCTCTGCCTGTCTGTCATGTGTTCGTATTTGCTGCCTTCCCGGGTGTGACAGACATGATTGACCGACCATGAGGGTCGGCGGCGGGCACACAGACAGTACGTGTGTGGTCGCTCTCTGTGTGTCAGCTGATTGAACGGACGGTGTACACGTGTGTGGATGGGTGTGTGCGTGTGTGTGCTGCTTCTGTGAGTGTGTGCACTTCTGCGTGAGATGGTGGCTGCAAAGAGTGTGGCCTCATGCTACCGTCTCTTTCGATTCATCATCAATTGTCTTTCATCGTCATCAAGTCCAGCCAGCGATGCGTAAAATGATACATTGATGCATAGCACAAGCCGCATTTAAACGTCCACTGATACATCTCTTGGCATGAACGTTTGCTTGAAACACTCGCCTCTCTCGTTATCGCCGCGTCTGTACCGAGAAATGGCGATGAACAACATCCCTCCATCTATGCATGGCGCACGGGCATTGACATGTTCTCGACTAGCTGCCGCGACGTGTCAATATCCGATGCCGCGACCTGTCAATATCCTGACCGCGAAAAAGAAAAGTTGCATGGCATCGTTCCTCCTATGGTCGCATACGGGATTGAAATCATCAATCGACACTCACTGCGAAGACGGTCACAACTGCATGGGTGAGAGCTCAAATGATGAGGGATATCTGGATGAAGGCCACACGGACAGAACAGTGAGATATCCAAGCAATACAGACAGACAGACATGTACACCCACTCCGACAACAGGGAATTGACATGTCTCACTTACGGAAAACGACGTGTGGGCTCTCACATGTACTCCAGTAGAAGGCACACACATATACTCGCCCTCAGTCAGACGGTAGAGGAGGGAACAAAACACACGCTACCGTCATAGCTCACCACGCCATCTCTCGAGAGGTGACACATTCAATTGCGGTCACTGTCCTTGCGTCGGCCCACCCCGACAAGCCAGGCACACAGAAAAGTTTCCAGAACATGCGCCCACTTACCATGCCCCTCTATAGAGAATCACTGCATGAACAGAGAGGGCCAGCAAGAAATCGACAATCACCGCAAAGAAGGCCACACGCAGTAGCTGGCACGACCAGAGACGGCGCGATGTGTCGCATGGCGTGTATGTCTCGTCTCTCCCTGACTGCAAAAAAAGAGGCCCCCGCCACGCGAGACATCCATGGTAGCCTTCGCAAGCGACGGACACAGCGACCGACCGATCGTTCGCCCCTCCCTTACACGCACGCATCCGTGGCATCTTCTCACAATGGTCCAACAAAACGGGACAGTATGATCAACGGGAGTAAAAATGAGCCAGCGGAATGACGACACTTACTGCAAAGACGCACACACCTATGGGAGTGTCTAAGCAGGGGTGTGTCCTTCATGCCGTCCACCGGCTAAAGCAGCAGAAGATCCCACCCCTCCCCCACAACCCGCACAGGGATTGCAGCAAAACAGCGACCCGTACGCATGGATGAATGGCAAACACGCACCATGCGCTGCATTTCACCATGAATGCCTCAAAATGAAACGCCCCTACCAAATGCATCAGATAATCATCCACTGTCCCTCAGAACGACAAAAACCACCACGCGCAACGACACCTCTTGTCAGAAGGGCAAGGCCGCTGTTGGGGCGGGCAAGAAGCCATCTGATAATAACGTGAGTGACGTCGCTGTGTTGTCAATTCCATCCACACCCATCTGTGGGTAAGGCTGTCAGGTGCGGCTGTATGGTCCGTCTCACGTCTCGGGCATAGCTCCTATCTCCGGCTGTGTGTGCGTCTCGACTGCGGCCCAAAGGGTGGGGGATCTGGAAAAGGGGGGAGGGTGCCGCTGCTGGAGCACTCCGCTGGCATAGACAAGCTGGCTTTGCTCGGGAGTGTTGCTGATGTTTGATCCACGATGACCAAACTGGCGAAATGACATGGCCGTTTTCCGGTGGTTCAGTCCTGGATTGGGCGCACAAGGCACCAGATATGAGATTCCCTGGCTGCACATGGCGGGTGACAGAAGCTCCGTTGAAGATGATGGGCTTCTGCTGGCTCTGCGATGGAGACACAGCCGTCTGAGCTTCCGGGTATCGGCTGATGGTTTGCCAGTGGCATCCGCTGACATGGATAACGAGGATGTTGAGCTCGTGTTCACGACTGCTGAAGATCCAGACGGCGGCTGAGACATAAGCGACGAGGTTGTAGTGCATTTCTTGTCCGACAGCAAGCCAAGGAAAACCACTGAAAGGCGGGGCTGAAGTCCCACACGCCACTCACAGTCAGCATGGAGAGCGGTTCAAGAATGCCCCGGTGGAGTCGATGTAGCCCAGGATGGCGTACACGACCACGAAAATCTTGATGATAGAAGGTGGGCCAATAAACCAACAACCATGATCCGTGTCGGCGATCGAGCCGGGGCGCGGAGGGGCGGGGAGCGGACGCGGGAGGGGAGGACAGGGGAGACAGGTTTCTGAACACAGCACAACAGAACGGGACTTCCCATCTGGTGCGACCTTATTAACGAGCGTACGTGGTTACGTCGGTTTGGTGGGCTGAGCTTCACAAAACGCCAAAGATACTCCGATCTCTTTCCAGCCCTCGTCTTGACGGGTCGTTGACGGGGGGCCAGGCGAAGATGCTGAAGAACCAGGCAACGATTGAGGCCCAGCCCACGATGTTGAAGGCTACCGCAAGCCCGAAAAGAAATCCATCCGGCGGAAAAACCATGGTCCGTAGAAGGGGCGAAGGCCAACTCTCGACAGAGGGCCAGCAGGTGCGACGGGAGCGTAACCGGAAGCAAGTCAGTGAGCAGCACTGTAGAAGGGGCTGTAGCGCCACCTCTCACTCTCAAACATCACAACGGACACGTCGATCACCGACAGGACGTAGTCGATCATGCGGTGGATGAGGTACACCATGAGAGCAACGTTGATGAGATCCTCGAGCAAGTCTTTTGTGTGTGCTGCAGCAGGGCGCGATAGACGACTATAGATGGGGGATATGGGGGAAGTGGGACGAGCGGGGAGGCAGGTGGCTTGGAGCTTCAAATACCCCAGAGATCAATGGACAAGTCGTCTCTCCGTGGGTCTTGGCCACAAGCAGTCACCGTCATCATCCAGAGGAAGATGAAGGTGTAATTCAAGACGATGAAGAAGAGGCAGCACCCGGTGAGCACGGCCTGGAATGTGAGCAGCATTGTGGCGGCTGATATACGGGGAAGTGACGACAGCCAGCAACTGAAGGGGATAGGAGACGGGAGGAGAAGCGAAGGAGAATCTGGTGTGTCGCTTTCAGTGCATTTTTTGTATATACCGATGTAACACACAGCAATTAAATCGATCTCTCCCGGGTAGGCCGACGAAGGTGAACTTCCCACTGGCCAGTGGCGACGAGCACGATGCAGCGATGGATGAAGGAGCAAAAGAAGTGCACTATCCCCAAAACGCAGTACACCTGCACACAAGACGACCCACATACCCACATTCTACCCCTTCCCTGGTCCTTTCTCCCTCTCTCCCCCCACCACGAGGCCGGCGTTGATGAGCGAAAATGGGTCAGCAAAACCAAGAATCATGATCTCTGTCTGTGAGGCCACGAGTCGGTGGTGCTGTTGTTGCTTGAGAACGTGTGGTTCGCAGGAGAGGGTCGACCGTCGAGATGCGAGCTTCTGTTTCTCGTCTAGCCCTAAACCCAAAGCGGAGCGAATGTCTGTTTCTTGGCTTCTTGTGTTGGTGACTGTGCTGTCTTATCTGTGCTACCGATACCGTCACTTGCTGAGCCGGTTGGCCACAACCCTGTTCGGCGAGCAACATGCGCCGCAGCAGCTGACGGATGAGGAGATCTTGAAGGAGTTCGGTGAACAAGGCCGCAAGGCCAAGAAGAAGACCAAGAGAGCAGCAAGGACCAAGAACGTCGCTCCGCCGGACGCCACGGGTCATCCTGCTGATGGGCAACATCACGAGAACAGCACAGTACCAGCGGCCGCCGCTCCTGCAGATGCAGCTGCTGCAGCAGCTCACCCAGGACGCCTGCCGCAAGACGCTGGAGCAGAGCAAGACGACGGAGATGCGGATGACCACGGCCATGAGTCGGTTTCAGACAACGATGAGCTGACTGCCGCTGCTTCAACACGCAATCCCTACTACATACCCGATGACGAGACGCCACTCGAGCAGATGAGGCGGCTGGGGGGCCGCCTGAGGGCCGCGGAAGAGGCAGAGTGGGAAACAGCGCCCGGTAGAGGGAGGGGTAGGGGCGAGTCATCCGGCCTTACAGAGCGTCAGCGGAAGAACAAGCTGAAAGCGGAGAAGCGGAAGCAGGAGAAAGAGGCCAAGGAAGCTGTGCAGGCCGAGAGGTTGCGGCAGCACAAGCTGAGGCTGCAGCAAGTGAGGGCGGAGGAGCAGGCGAAAACAAGGCAGGCGGGGGTGCGGCCACCCATGAGCAGTGTGTGGACCGACAGATAGATAGATGGATGGATGTGGGATGGATGGATGGATGGGTGGGTGGATGGGTGCTGAAGAGCTTTGTACGATGGATGACGCTTGATGCACGTATGGTGTACAGACTGTCGTATGTGTGTGTGAGGGGATAGCTTAACTGTCAAGCGACTGACATCGACAAAGTTTCAATTGACTGACATCCACGTAAGTACCAACCAACATCCTCAGACACATCCACTCCACAGACACGTCCGGGACATCCATCTGCTCACGCATACCGACAGACACGCAGTCATTCCTTACGAAGTATCTTTCCACACACAAAGATGGATCACTCACTCACTCCCTGTTCTCAGATGATGCGTGCCGCCGCGCCTGTCAGCAAATTCCCTCCCTTGTCTGCTGCCCTGCTGGCCGGTAGGTAGCCCAGCCCCAGTCAGTCAGTGCAGCCCTGCCGTCCCCTCGCCCCTCCCTCCATCTGTCTGTCGACGCGCGAACGCAGCACTGTGAAGTGTAAAGTAGGTAGGAAGCAAGTCGTCGGTATCAATGTTGCATTGAATGAAGCACAGCAAGCAAACAAGCAGGCACACACGCGCATCATATCACACGTGCAGTAGTTCACACACATGGCGCCTCTCCCCTCCCCTCCCCGCCCGCCTTTCACACAACACAAAAAAACAAAAGGTCCCCCCCCCCGGATCGCCCTCCGCACCGAGGGCACAGCACAGCAGGGAGGGGAAATAAGCCCTCCCTCGTGGTGCAATGGGATGGCATGGATGGCTTGGCATGGGAGCCACCCCACCCCCTGTGGTGTGTGAGTGCGAATGGACACCGACAGTCAATCATCGATCCACCAACAGTCAGTCACGACACGATCATGTGGGCGCATCGCAATGGATGAAGTCCAAAAAAGCGGTCACTCTCTCGAGGACGTACGTCATCAGTGACGGACGATGCAGCAGCGACGGACGGTGGCCACCCACTCCGCTGTTCAATAAGCCATCCACAGCCATCACAGACGTCACACACAGACACACACACGTCACACGCATGCTCGCGTATCGCAAGAAACGGTACACCTACACGTCGACACGTGCTGTGCTTCTCTCTTCGTGCCGGTCCCCCACGTCGAATCTGGTGGGCCATTGGCATGGCCACCCGAACGCCGTGCAGCACCGGCCAGACAAGGGGAGCCCCAGCACATGTCTCGTATAGCGAGTCGATAGCCAGACATAACAGTCAGTCGCCATGATGGATGCGTCACACGAAGTGTGTGCAGAGGGGCAGCACAAAGCCAGGCAAGCTCCCATGGGTGAGAAAAATCATCTCGCCTCGTATCGTATCGACGGGCGCGCGTGACGTGGCTGTGTGTGTGTGTGTCGGTCATGTGCCTGCCTGCGTGTCTAGCTGCCGGCTCAGCCGCAGTGTGTGCATGTGTGTGAGTGCACCCAGGGCCAGTGACAACAAACTTGTCTCCCTCCCTCCCTCCCTCCCTGTGTGCCTGTCTGCAAGTCTGCGTAGCCATAACGCTCTCTGTTCCATCCTTCAGCGCCGTGACTCCACCAGTCAGTCCATCAACCGCCAGCATGCAAACCAATCAAATCAGTCGGTCGGTCGGTCGGCTGTCTCTGTCGGTCATGTGGATCAAGCAGACGGACAGACGGAGAGACAGGCGCGTTGACAACTGCACAGCACGGACACGGATGCAGGTGTTCATGGTCGGCCCATCTTGGACGGGCAGGGCTCCCTTGGTACCTCTCTCCCTCCCTCCATCCACAACACTCTCACCCACTCTCAAACACTCCAATGAATGCTGGCGGCCAGGCAAAACGAACTCACGCAAACAGCAAAAAGTGGTCGCGCACTCAGCTGGGCGATGGATGGATGGAGAAGACTACTTGATGGGGTCACGGCACACCCCATCAAGTATTCCACTCCATCCGTCCATCGTTCAGCTGACTGGTCGGCTGGCCCAATTGGAAGATCGTACGTATGTGTGTATGCGAGTCAGTCAGTGAAGTGGAAACCGAAAAATCCCCCGGCCACGGCAAAGCGGTGGCGGGTGACGGGAAAAATAAAAAGGCATTCAGACGCGGACCGACAGACAGACAGAGAGGAAGGGCATCATGATGTCGATGTCGTCTTGACAACTCAACGGCGGATATGTCTGGCAGTGAGTGAGTGAGTCAGTCAGTCAGGCAGGCAGACAGCAAGAAACTTCGGTTAAAAGGCCCACACAACACACGTGCACCACACTCACGCACACCACACGCATTGGATGTATGCGAGGAGCGTTAGCTAGTCCCCCCCTCATCTCACCCACCCCCGCCCCCAACCCGCCCCCGCGATGCACGGCTTGGTCAGTAGACCGTCAGACACACACCGCACCGCACGCACACAGACGGAGGGAGGGAGGCACATGAATGAAGGAAAGGCTTCACAAACAAACGAAGAAAAAAGAGTGACGCGTGTCTGCCGCAATAAGCGAGTGGGGACTGGAGTCAGCCGGTGCATGAGCGACCCGTCAATTCCGAACAGCAGGCATCATCATCACGTGACAGGTCGACAGGGAGGGAGAGATGGCAGCAGCGCCATATCACCACCGCCCCCATCACCGCCCACGCGAAGGCAGACAGGCGGCGTAGAGCCTACGATGGATAGGGCGTGAATGGATGAGTGAATCCACACACCTTACACACACACACACATGCACGGAGGAAGGCAGGCAGCCCTAGGCCCGGCCCGCCCACCAGTCAGCCGTCCGTCAGGCACCCCTCCAAAACCATCCACCACGCCCACATAGGCATAGGCATACACACGGACATATAGACAACAAGAGTAGCCCGCCCGCCCTCACTGCCCCACCCCCTCCCCTCCCCCCTGCCCCACTACTACTAGAACGACACAACACTGTATCATCAAGTCTTGTGTCAGCCAGCCGTCAACTCTTCAGCCGCTGCTGCTCCTCGTACTTCTCCACATAGCTGTGCACCATGTCATCGTAACACCGCTCCTTTGCACCACTCCCGCAACCACCACCATTGGCGGCAGCAGTGGCCGAAGCCGAAGCCGAGCACTCAAAGGACTTCTCCGATCCGCTCGCCGACCCGTTGCTGCCGCCGACATGGTGGGTGCGGTCCGTCGTCTGAGATGTGCCGCGCGATGGGCCGACGGGGGGGTGCTCGGGGAAGGGCGCCAGGGTCGAGGTGAGAGGGGTGCGTGCCGCCTTGGTGAGGGGGGTGGTGTCCTTCTCGGCCGCCTTGTTGTCCTTGGAGCTGGCCGTGGTGGACGGCGACCGGACGCTGTTGAGGGCGTTGCGGCTCCGGTTGGCCATGATGGCCAGGGGGAAGGGCAGCTCGCGCGCCGAGTAGGATGTGCGGCGGTTGAGGGGCCGCTTGAGGATCTCGGGAGATGAGCGGGTGGAGTTCCTGAGACACAACAGACACACACACACGGCAGCAGAGGGAGAGAGAAGGGGATGGCCAATTGGGGCAAAAACACAGGCAGTGAGGCAGGCAGGCAACAGAGCAGGCATAGCTAAAAGCAGGCAGGCAGGCCTATCTCATCCTATCACATCCCGTTGGTGAGTGACAACACGACGGACTCACCGAGCGGGATGGATGGATGGATGGAGAAAGAGTGTGTGCGTGGACAAGATGCGAAGCGTGAGACAGGGAAAGGAGAGAGCGAGGAGAGGTGACACCCCCAGCCAGCCAGAGCCCCGGGGAGAGGGTGGTCAAGAGACGTGTTCGTTCCGACATGCACACACGCATGTATGTGTGTGTCCATGAAGTGCAATGCATCGTCGCATTGACGGATCGGACCACAAACACACACGTCCTCGTCCCTGCCTTGCTAGGGAGGGTACAACCAAAACCAAAATCACTCACGAGAAAGACGCTGTCTGCCTGTCTGTCTGTCTGTCACTCGGAGTTGCTGTCGTCGTCAGCACTCTCATCTTTAAACTTCTGAAACTTTGGCTCGATCTCTCTCTCAGGAGGAGGAGGGAAGCAGACGTACCCCTCGCCGAGCGACGACACCCTCCTCTGACTATCCCCCTCCCCCCTTCTCCCCCCCAAGCCACCACCACCACCAGCACTGCCAGACTTATCGCTACTACTGCTCCCATGCAAAGCGGGAAGCGGCTGGGTCCTAGCTCTGACTGGCCTGCTCTTGTCGACTGTCTGGTCGTGCTGTGCTAACCTCAGCATGGCGGCGAGGTTCTGCAGCCTCGTGTCGCCGGGCACCTGGGCCACCTGCACGTCCACCAGGTTCACCAGAGTCTTGAGCTTCTTCGCGTCATCCACAGACCCGCGCAACTGATCGACCAGATGGGATCAAACATACAGACATGAGTGGGGTCGGATTGGACGCTCGTGTGGGTGGGGTATGGTGAGGGCGTGGCTTACGCTTTTTGCTGGGCTCTCATCTCCCGCCTCGGAGAAGAGGTCAGGCTCGTGAACCACCGCAGCCAGGAACTCCTCATAGTCTGCATGGCATCCAATGCAATGCAATGCACACATACAGCCAACCAACCAAGCAACCACCCATACGAGTCGTCGGTGGGCGGCTTGCTTGCAGGTGCGCGTGCGTGTTACGTACCGATTTGTCCGTCTCCGTCTTTGTCAGCCACTCGGATGATGGCCTCGATCTCCTCGCCCTCGTATGAGAGACCCAGCACCTCACGCAAGTTGTCGGACGTAATGTAACCTGACACACAATGAATAAAGAGACGTCACGCGTGCGGTGCGTGTGTGCCTGCAGGCAGGGGGCGGTTGGTGGTCTCGTTTAGTTTACCAGACTGGTCGGTATCGAATCTGTGGAAGGCCTCGCGGATGAGGTCCTCGTGGAGCTTGACGCGCTGCTGAAGCATCGCTGCGATGAAATCTGAACCCATCGACAACACACAACACACAACACACACATGTCTGTCTGTCTATGTGGCTCTGTGTGTGTTGTAGATGGGACTGATGCATCCGTACCGCTATAGCAGACTTCGTGTGGGTGTTCGGCGTCGCCGTCGTTGACCTTATCGTGCTGCGTCTCCAGCGAATGAAACAACTTCTCTATCTGCACACCACACCAGAGCAGACACATGTTGCCGTCTCTCTGAGTGTGTGTGTGTGTGTGTGGCGTGTGCCGCACCTCTTCGCTGGAGAGGTCGAAGTTGGATGTCATGACGTCCATGAAGTCACGCAGCGTTATCGAACCTGCCTGGCTCTTGTCGAACTGCAAAAACATGTCAGTCAACTCTGAACAACCGACACACACAGCACAGGGGCATCAATCAATCACATGGACAAGGAGCGGAGCTTTGTGTGGTGACTGGACTGACGGTGGGGTGTGTGTCTGTTGTTCCATTCCACCGACTGACATACCGTGAATCTCCGCCGACGTGAGGCAGTAGGCCATCATGGTGAGAGCGGCCCGCTTCAGATGAGTCGCCACGGCAAACGACTTCATGCTGATCGATCCGATCGACACAATACATATACACACATACATCCACACGTGCTGTGCTCCACCCCCCGTGTGTGTGGCTGAGTGTCTTGGCCAGTGAGCTACAGACCTCTTGAGGACGTTTCTGTCCATGTGCACCTCGGGCAGACGCACGCGATGCGTGATCCACGGCTGCACACATACACACGCACCGGAGGGGAACGAAGACATGCATGCCGACATACCGGCGCGCTGCCCTCCCTCCCGCCCGCCTACGTGTTCGAGAGCCTCCTTGGCAGACATGCGCTTCCTGACACACATCACACACAGTCCATCACCCACAGGACAGGCAGGGAACGATGACATGCTCTACTTCCTTCCCTTCACTGATGCACTCGACTCACTGTGGGTTCCTCTGGAGCAGACGGCTGACGAAGTTCTTCGCCTGAGGCGACACGCGCTCCCACCTAATTGAGTTAATGGACCAACATCACACCACATCACCCAACACACGGAGACCGACGGATGATCGATTCAAGTGTTCTGTGTGTGGAGTGGAGCGCACCTTGATCCCGACATGGAGTACTGTGCCTTGGCTATTCTGTCGAGGATCTGGGCCTCCGTGCCGTAGAAGGGCGGGTAACCCACCAGCAACATGTACACTGATGGATGGATGCGATGCGTCAAGACAACACGACACGACACGACACGACACGCAACAATGAATGCACTTTCACTTGTCTGTAGTGTTGGTCTGATCTGATGGATGGATGGGATGGGCGTGTGTCGTTGACTGACCGATGACCCCCAGCGACCACATGTCGCACGCATTGGTGTAGGAACCGGACAACGTATCTGATCGACACAATCACACCAGACACAGGGCCAGGCCACTAAGTGCAGTGCCTGAGTGCCAATCGAATCGACCCGTCATCATCCATCCTTTCCCTCACTGACCAGGGCTGACGTAGGCGAGCGACCCGCAGGTTGCGTGCATCTTTTTGGAGTTCCTGGGGTTCCATATCTTGGAGAAGCCGAAGTCGATGAGCTTGAGCCTCGCGTGCTCCGAAGGGTCCTCATACAACCAATTCTCCAACTTCAAATCTCTGATGGATCGTCAGTCACCATCACCACACACCGACAGACAGACACACAGACAGACAGACAGACACACATGGATGGGATGGGGCCATGCCATGTCCGTGATGTGATTGTGGATGCAATGTACGCCACGCACCTGTGGACAACGTTGTGTGCGTGTAGGTAGTGGACGGCCTCCAGCATCTGGAAGGTGACCTCGGCGGCGTCCTGCTCCTTGTACACGTGCTTCTCGTTCAACCGCTGGTACAGCTCCTTCCCTACACACACACACACACACACACACACACACAGGGAGGGAGGGAGGGAGGGAGGAACCGATGGACGTCTTGTCTTGCGACACGGCAGACCTCCACAGTGTGTGGCTGTGGCTGTGGCTGTTTGCTGTGTCCGTCAGCGCAACGTACCCGAGCAGTATTCCATGACCATCCACACGTTTTTGCTGTCCTCATAGATGTCGATCAGGCGGGCTATGTTGGGGTGGTCCAGGTGCAAATAGATCTCGGCCTCGTTCTTCAACAAGTCAATCTATTCACAGAGACACGAACGCAACACGGGCAGCGGTGGGCACAGACCGTGTCACGTGCAGGCAGGCACGCTTGCTGACCCTTTCCTTGTTGGCGGCCTTCTTGTTGAAGGGCTTGACAGCGTAGCGCTTGTTGGTCGTGCGATTGACAGCCAGGCGAACGGGACCTACACACACAATCCAACCACATAGACAGACATGGAGGCCCAAATGAGAAAGCGCGAGTGCGCGCCGCGCCCATTGTGTGTGTGCGGCAGTGTGTGGCAGTGTGCGTGCGGCACGTACCTGAGAATCCCGTGCCCAGCACCTTGTCACAAAACGCGTAGTCATCCTGAATCGGTCGGTGGTGCTGCACAACACAACACAACACAACACGCAACACGCACAGCCAAGCCAAGCCAAGCCAGGCCATGGTGACCACCCTCTCCTACCGCCTGCATCGTATCCCTCACCCCTCCCTCCCTCCCACCCGTGCCGTCCTTACCACTCGCGAGTACTCTATGCAGGCTCTATGGTGTACCAGTTCCTCGTTGCCGTCTTTCTTGGAGCAATGGGCCCCCATGCGGACGCCAGGGTGGACAAAGGTCTCCGTCGACGACACCGTGGCTACTGACAGACGAACTCACGAGGCACAACACCAAGAGGGAGTCTTCTCAGCGACGCGAAACACGCGGTCAGCTCTGGTAATGCGGCAATGGCGACGTCACAGGCACATGACACCCTCTCGGAAAGGAGAAAGCTCGCAATTCCGTTCGTGTAACCCAAATCCTTGCCCCAACTCTTCTGGGTCGCCGATGTCCTAAACTTCAGGATGGGCCCGAAGAAGGAGGTCTTGGAGGAGGCCCCTCCACAAGAAGAAGAGCCCCCACCGCCAGAAATCGCCATACGCGTAGTACGAGAGGGAGGTGCTGTGTTCGAGGGGGAGTCCAAGTTGGTGGACGGCAAGGTTATCAAGCATGGGAGCGGCGTGCTGCTGCAGGTGGGTCAGCCAAAGGATGGCCAAGAACCGGTCGTCATCAGTCGCTACGAGGGCCAGTTCTTCGAAGACACGATGCAGGGGAATGGCGTCATGCACTTCGTGGATGGCTCACGGTGAGGCGGCACGCACGTGGTTCATGCAGGAAGAGATCGCACTTCGCACCGTGTGTGTGTCCTTGTGTGGTGTTTTGGTTGGTCAGGTATGAGGGCGAGTTTGCCGCGGACAGAATCGATGGCCTGGGGGTTTTCAGGTGGCCCAACGGGCAGTCGACTTACGAGGGCATGTGGAAGGACGGCAAGATGCACGGCCACGGCAAGATGGTCGAGAGCAGCGGCGACCTCCACACAGGAGTCTTCTATCAGAACTGGATGAAGGACCACAAGGGCAAATGGCGCAACTTCCTGAAAGCCGAGCACGAGGCCGAGAAGAGGGGCATGATGCATCTGGGCGCCCGCCTGACACCTGACGCTCTCTTGCCCGTCTCTGTCGCCAGCGGCCCCAATGAACTGCTAGACTCCTTGATGGGGAGCTACCAGGCCAACCAGATCCCGTTCGTCATCTCCTCTGACACTGACGCGGCGCTCACGGCCCTCCATGAGGCGACAGGCGAAGAGCCGCTGCCAGTGCACATGAAGTATGCGGCGAAGATGAAGGCCCGGCTTCACGACTGGAAGGGGCTCTTCCGCAAAAGCATCACGGCAGCTCTCGAGGAGGCGAGACCTCTCGCAATTGTCTTTGACGCGTACGACCCCTCAGAGCCCCTCCCTGCTGAATGGAGCGTGAAGGAATTCTGGGGCGAGGCTGGCGGCCTCCCGTGTGAGCTCTTTGACCCCAACAAATTCCATGGACGGGGTCTGAGTGAGCAGTTTGGGAATGCAGTGGCGGACAGAGAGGGCGAGAACAAGGCTGATGAGACAGCTGCTGAAGAGCCCACAGAGGCGAAGGAGCCTCAAGAGGCCTCAGGGGAGGAAGCCCCGCCCCCTCCGTCCGCTGAGGGGTTTCCCGTGTGTCATCGTCTGCAGTTTGTGGTGATTGGTGTCCATGACGTGTCTCCAGCGTCGCTGGCAGATGGAGGGGCTTTGCGAGGGAGCGTCGCGCTTCGGTTTGGCATGCACGTGCCGCTTCATCGATGCAGCCTCGTTGCTCTTACTATGCTGTGATTGCTCATCTCATTGCAATGATGGACATGTACGTTGACTTGTTCTTTGCTGAACAAGAAGAAGACGATCGATTTCCGATGTCATTCATACCTCGTCTGCTCTGCTCCAATCAAAGCAATGCACATGTACGTACGTACGGCTATCGACACAAAAATGGATGGGATGCGGGGCGCGATGGCTAACAGGCTTCCGAAATCCACGGAAGACCTGGTCGGCCGAGCCACCACTAAACGCGAAAACTCTCTTCAGTTCGTCATTTAGAAGGCCGGCCGTACACCGAAAACTGAGGGCCCTCACTCACATCTTAAAGCTCCCTCTCGCTGACCCTCTTGCTCTCCACTCGCCCTCTCCTTCAAAAATCTTTTTGGCTCTCTTCTGTCTTGTACAGATACATACACATGACTCCACTACCCAACCCAACTAGCCACCTTAGCCACACATCCCCCCTGCCCCGCCATCTGTACAAATAAGGGAGCTGAAGCGAGGCCGCCCACTGCCTCGTCAGTCAGTCCGCATAGTTGGTGAGGTCGTCATCGTCCACGCCCAGCTGTGACCGCACTGACCGCAGCAGCCGCCACCCGCGCCTCTCGCCGTCACTCCGAAGGGGGTCAGAGAAGGCTGACGTGAACCGAGACCGAAACAGCGCCTCAAAGGACTGCATACACACAGACACACACATACCGATACATGGCTGCATGGATGACGGCATGTGTTAAGGTGCTTCTCACGAAGACGGCTCTGAGTGTCCTGCTGGTGACGTCCAGGGCGGTCTCGAATAGGAAGAGGGCGGCGTCGCCCGTCCTCAGAAAGACCTCAGCTGCCGAGTACCCCAGCTCGCTGACCACCACCTGGGACACCACTGGCTTGGCGGTCTCGTTGACCGAGGGATGACTCTTGGTCACCTCGGACCACACCAATGCTGCCGCTAGACCTGCAGGCAACAGAGAATGCCACCACACCATAGACGACGCCACACCCATCAGTCCTTCCGCTCCGCTCCCTGAGGTCACGAACTTTGCAGGTTGACATCGCCGGCCTTCATAGCGCTCCGTTGCTTCCGATCCGACTCGGTCTCCTCGCCACCGGCTGCTGGTGCCGCTGTTGCACTCAGCTGCCTGTCGAGTGTGACCTCTAGAGCCCGCCTCTTGGTGACCTCCAGCTTGCCCGCCACGTTGAGCAGCACCGGCCTCTTGCCTTCCTCGTACTCGCGACGCTTCGACTGCAGATCGACGTCATACCGCTCGAGGGCCTCCACTGCACGGCCGGTGAAGGCATTCAGGCTCTGCAGCGCCGACACGACGGCCGGATCGGCCGCTGCTGCTGGTGGGACGGCGGCAGGGAGAGCATCTGCCCTTTGGAGAAGATGTGGATTCAGGCCTTCGTGTGCGTCGGCTGCAGGCACCAGGACCCCTAGAGGCGAGGAGGGCTGCGACGGCGATGGGACCACTGCCGGTCTGCCGTCCTGGTATGGGAAGGGGTTTGACGGTTGTGTGGCTGCAGATGAGACAGGGGTTGGCTGAGGCCGCACCGTCCTCGGTGGAGGGGGGCTGTCGTTGACAGGGGTCGGTCGGGGAGGCACCATGGGGTCTGTGCCGCCGCCGACGCCCTGGACGAGGGATGCCTCCTCATTGGCTGGACGAGGCTCCAAGAAGTCCTCAAAACTCTTCTGGAGACTCTGAAGAGCCTCAAGAGTAGCCTGCACAAATGGGAGGGGGTCACGCAAGCACAGATAGGGGTGGGCAGATGTGGGTGTATGGTTCTCGGGGTTGCTTGCCTTGAGCTCTTTCTTCCTAGCGGCGGCCTCTTGGTCCAGTGCTGACGTGAGCCGAGGCAGCTGCCTCTTGTCCAGCTCCTCCCCAACGTCAAAGCTCGCCACCCGACCCTCGGCTCCCTCACCCTCGAGAGTCGCCAACCGATCCTGACACGCACACAGATCCGATCCACAGAAGACAGATTTAAGTCCGCCGGATGCATATAGCTATCTTTCATCTCTTTCCTGTGTGTGTGGGTGCCCTGCCCACCCTCAGTGCGATGGTGTGGTCCACCGAGACATCCAGGCGCTCCAGCCGATGTCGCTCCTTCGTCAGGCTGCGCTGTAGTGTCGCCTCTGCGTCCTTCATTGCGACGTCCACCAGCTGCAGAGACCGCTCAGGCGAGCTGGACACGGTGGTGTTGCCCACGGGTGTCATCTGCACCGCCTTGAGAGCCTTGAGCAGCGCCTCAATCGTCGGCAGCGTCTCGTTAACAGCCCGCCGCTCCAGCTCGCTGCCCGCCTGGAGCGACTCGCACCGCCCCCTCTGGTAGGCGATGATCTCCTCCATCGACGCAGGCCGGCCAGGAGACGACGCATTCCCCGCACTGTGGGCCATGTCGTCAGCACCACCGCTGGCAGGCCCCCACTCGGAGCGGTCTGCATCTGCCGCCCCTCCCCACTGCTCCTCCTCAGCGAGCTCCACAAGGTCTTGCAGGTTGTCGTCAAGGAGTATCTTGCTGCCCCGCCGCGCCACGGCGTCACGCAGCGAGGCGAGTCCAGGGAACCGCTTAGCGAGCCTCTGGCCGGCGGGGCCGTCGACCATTTCCTTCCTCATGCTGTAGAAGTAGTCTGGGATGCCCGCCAGCCCTGTCGGCGCCTTGGAGACCGCCTTGAGCATGTTGAACCGCCTGTCCACCTCCCTCTGGTACAGCTCGGCCAGCACGGCGTCTCGCGGCTTGCCCGTGAAGCGGAGTGTCTGGAGGAGCCGCTCGCTGGTGGCCGGCGGGAGGATGGGGAGGAGCATGAGAGCCTGGCTGACGGTGAGGTTGGCGTATTGGGGGAAGATCTGCTGCAGCAGGGCCTGCGTGGCCGTGTCCACCTGCTTGGACACTCGCTGCGTGTCGGTCATGGCCTTCTCCATGATGAACTCACCGATGGACTACACGAATCGAATCAAGACAACACAACACGAACACACACATGCAGTGCCGAAGAGGACAGGACAGATGTACTGTGTGCGTTCACATCTTCTCTATCTCACTCACCACTAGCAGCTTGATATCGGCAGCTGCCTTCTCGGTGATGGCGAGGCCGAGTTTCCCCACCGCCCGCTGCACTGACTTGATGACCAGACCCGTCCGGAACTCCGCAGGCCTCTCCTCAGTGGTCGCCGTCATGGCCCGCCCGACAATCGTGACATTCTCCTTGGTAAGCTGCTCCCCGCTAGCATCCTTTGCAAAGGTTAAAGTGACGGGCGATGATGGCAACGCCTCCCCCTGTGTCCTGAATGACAGCGTCTTGTTGGCCGTGTCGACGTCGGTGAGCGCCAGGAGTTCGGCCTTGACGCTGCCCGAGAACTCTTTCTCCATGCCTGGCGTCGACTCGAGCATGTACTTGATGGCGTCCTCTGCACCGTCAGGCAGCCGTTCGTCGCTGGAAGAGCTCATCTGCAGCACAACACCGGATGCACGCCGACGACACCGAGCATAATATGGCACCAAGGTTAGCCGATGAGGTTGCCGCCGTCTCACAGCTGCTGGATCTCTGCCTCTTGTGAGCTTTGATGGCAGCTGGAGGGCGCCGCGGCTGCTGAATGCCGTCATGGCTGCGTCTGCCTGGCGAAGAAGCGCCACAATAAAGCTGAAACCAATCATAACGTCCACTGCTCGTACATCCCTCCTCCAACCTCAATTCATCGCCTCGCGCCTGCTGCGAGATCAGAAATGCCAAGGTCGCAAGTCGTTGTTGTTGCCGCCGACAGATCCAAGCTGCCGAAGCGTCTCCGCAAGTCATCGTCTACGAGGTGCTGACAGCAGATTATCCGCTTGACTGACGAGCTGCCTACATGAACACGATGGTGAGAGCCGGGTGGAGGGAAGGACGATTACGCACAGTGCGCTGGTGCAGATGCGCTGCTCTTGTGTGCCTTTGTTTCTTTGTTGGTTGGTTTGTGTGTCAGGATTTCAAGGGTCAGTACCGCGCGTCGATAGTGCAGAGTGTGTTGATATGGACGGTGGGTCTCGTGGGCTTCGTCCTCGGCTTTGTCAACCAGTCCTTCCGCCTCACCTTCTTCTGCATCCTCGGCGCGACTGTCCTCTCGGCTGCGGTTAGTGCGGAGCCAGCGATGGAATGATGTGACCTCAGCTGCATTGCGTGCGTGTGTCTGTCTGTCTGTGTGTCTGTGTGTGTGTGTCTGTATGGTGGCATTCATTCATTGATTCATTCAGGTGTGTCTTCCATCGTGGCCATGGTGGAACATGAACCCCGTGCAGTGGCAAAAGCCCAAGAAGCAAAACAGCTCCAAGAAGGCGTAGGGTAGGGTAGGGTAGGGAGGGCGAGTGACTCTCTCGCTCGCTGGGGTGAGTGAGTGATGTGACTGACGACCAATCAATTAGATGAATGAATGACAGACAGAGGCTCTTTCTTCTCTGCTTGATGGCTTGATGTGAGAGCTGTTGTATCCATGCCATGGACGCGGCATGTCATACGAGAGCCAGCCTGCCTGCCTGCCTGCCTGCCCGCCAGTGGTGTGGATAGGATCGGAAGGACCCTCGGCCAGTGAGTGTACCTGCTAATTGCAGTAAAAAATATCTGCTTGCCTGCACTGCACTGCACTGCACACACCGTGGTCGGTCCAGCCACATATGATATGTTTTTCCATCGCATCGCATCGCATCCAGACAGACACGAGAGCCTCACACACGGTGATACCATCCCTCTTGTACACGACACACATCGTAGCACGACATCTGCTGACATCCCTTCAAATTGAAGCCAAGGTACGTGCGTGCCAGTAGGAGTGGTGTTGATCCATCCCCATGGCGAGTCAGAGAGGCAGAGAGGCACAGTGAGCCAGGGGCGCATTAGGGCGCATGGGATGGGCGAGGAGGGAAGATGCTTCGAGAAAAACGCATCCATGAGGCGCATGTGTGGGTTCTGTGTATATGTCTGTTGGTGGCGTGTTGCGGCTTCCCGAGAAGCACTGAGGAACAATTCAGGCCATAAATCACTTCGTGAACACACCAACATGTCTGTCTCACGTATGTGATTAGGTCTTACGCCTATATACATCCACATGGCCGGAAGCCAGCATCAATTCTATCACTAACCGACACCGACACGGAAGTGGGCCGTCTGTCTGGGTCATGCAATGGCGGCCTGCGGCCAGGTGAAGACCACAATATCGTTGTGTTGTGTGTCGCCTCGCACCGCCGCCATGACGGTGCTGCCGGTCACTCTCGTCAGCTTGAAGTCCTTGTCAATGCCGAGAGCGACAAACAACGAATGCAATTCGAACGCCGCCTGCAAACTAACCCAGATATGCGTGTGTTAGCGCATGGGTGTCTTCCCGATTCGAATCCGCTCTCACCTTGGCGTACTCGCTTTTCTTGGTATCGTTGTTTGTGAGATGGTTCTCATCTTTGTGGATGGCGAGTTCGGTCTGCGCCAGTGAAGCGCCGAGCTTCTCCGCCTGCTGGCCAACACGGCGAAGCGGACCCTGAATCACACAACGAGATGATGGAGACACGATTTCACGCATATACTCACGTACGCACCTGTTGGTCGTTGGCTACTCCTCTCGTGTTGTTCACATCCTTGTCTGTCAGGAAGATGCGGTGGGTCCGGTGCGTGATCTCAGAATGGTACGAGAGCTCATACACCTGGCCAGCACGAGCGGCTCGGACCAGACTACTGCAGCCAGTCATGGCAGAGACACACACACACACAGCACATGGACCCTCTCTCTCTTGCATGTGTGTGTGTGATTCTGCCCACTTGATTACCTTAGCTTGACTGCTTCCTGCGGCCACACCATGACCACGATGTCGTCGTGGCCTTCCTGGCTCGCACGGACGACGGCCGATTCATCGACAGGCCTCTTGTTGAATCCGCCGCTGCCGATGGCCTTGGAAATCGCATTGAAGCTCAACGCAGCCTGCCGAGACACACAGGCACCAACACACGAGAAAGATGAGATACGTGGATGCCCAAACCGCACGAGACGAGATGAGACACAGGTAGGTGTGGGCTGGCGTGGGTACCGAGGCGTATGTGATGATTTCGTCATCTTCGAGGTGTCCTGGGTCGGCCTTGATGCGCCTCTCGGTGTTGGCCAGTGTGGCATTGAGCTTCTGCGACTGCTCGGTCAACACGGCCGTGTCCGACTGAGACAGCGCACCCTGGTCGACAGACACACGATAGAGACAGACATGTGCGCACACACACACATGCATCCATCCATCTTTCTTTCTTTCTTTCTTTCTTTACGGATGGATGGATGTGTGGAGCGGCGGACGGGTGTGTGGGTGGGTGTGGTGGATCATGAGAATCCCATGCACCTACCTCAACGTTATGTATTGTCTGTTTCATTCGTCGTGTATGCCTGTACTCGGATCGATATCATCCACGCATTCACCGGCACGACGGAGCACACACAACGGGGCTGTGCTTGGTCATATCGGTGAGTGCTGCAAAGTCATCGATCTGAGTCACGGATACCCACGCACATCACACTCATCCATCATCGACAGGACGGCAGGACGGCCTGATCAGTTCACTTGCTTTCTGGCCCCCACGTGGGTGTGTGTTGGGCTGCAGGAGATTCTTGCGCCGAGTTTGATCGGCCAGAATCCGCTGCACGTCAACGAGATCAACCGTATCATGGACGCCATCATCCCCGGCAACCCACAAGCCAAAGCGGCCATCGACATTGCGTGCTGGGACATACTCGGTAACCCAACGACACCATCCATCCATCCATCCATCGTGTCTGTTGTGTGATGGGTGCAGGGAAGAAGTTGGGTGCGCCGATCTATCAGCTGCTGGGCGGGCCGCTCCGCACCTCTCTGGATCTGCTGTGGCCCATGGGCGACCAGGAGCCTGAAAAGGACAAAAAGGAGGTGGGCGGGCGCGGTGGCACACCGGCCATCGATGTGCTCACCACACGATGTGACACCCACTGCACAGATGAAGAAGAAGATCGAGGAGGGCTACAAGTGAGTGTGTGAGATGTGGCGCAAGAACCCAACACAACGCACCGATGAGAGATGGATGTGCTGGTGCATGTCTGGGGAACCTTGGTGTGCAGGACCTTCATGTTCAAGTGGGCAAAGGGGCGCCACGGTTGTCACATCTTTATCCTGTATATATTTCTTCTTGGCTGCCTGTCTGCGTCTGTGTGTGTGTCTGTGTGTCAGGATGGGGGCCATCAAGGACATAGATATGCAGATAGAGCGCATCGCCACCGCCAGAGAGAGCTTCGGCAAGAAACTCGGCAAGGAACTCGTTATCGTGCCCGACGCAAACCAAGGCAAGCGGCCAAGGCAGCGCCCCCTCCACAGCTCCCTCCCTCCCACCCCTCTGTGTCTCCTCTTCCATGGATGCAGCTTTCACGAAGGACGAGGCGATTCAGCTGTTGCGTGGGTTGGAGCCGCTGCAGTCGAAGGGCCCGCTGTTTGTGGAGCAGCCCGTGTCGAAGGAGCGGCCGCAGGACATGATCTCCCTCCAGAGACAGACGTCCATCCCCCTGTCGATAGACGAGTCCCTCGTCACTGTCAAAGACGCCCTCCACTTTGCGCAGCAGCAAGGTGATAGAAGAGATGAAGCAAAGTGACGGACGGGAGCAGACGGGCACTGTGTGTGTGTCTCTGTGTGTTTAGGGTGTGGGGTGTTTAGTGTCAAAGTCGTCAAGAACGGCGGCATCAGCAAGGCCATGGAAACAATCGGTGAGTGAGAGGAGAAAAGTCCACGCAAGAGCGAGAAAGCCCGCTGATGTGCTGTTTACTCATGGCCGGATGGATGGCCGGATGGGTGTAGGGGTCGCCAAGTTATATGGCATTCCCATTCTGTTCAACTCGATGCTCGAGACGGGCGTGGCCCAGGCAGCCGCCCTCCACCTGGCCGCCGTCACGCCCACACTCTACCCATCTGGACACTGCTTCATGTGCACACAGACACGTCACCCCTCCCCCCACCCACCCCTGCAACCACTCTCTGCCCTCTCTCTGTGTCAGGTCGACATTGCGTCTCAAGGACGTCACGACGTTCGCCTCGTCGCTGATCTGGAAAGAGAAAGCGTCCGGTCTGCTGATGGTGCACCTGCCCACCGGCCCGGGGCTGGGCATATCGCTCGACGAGGAGGCCCTCGAGACGTACACTGTCGACAAACGAGTCATTACCGACGACAAGAAGGCATGAAACGGCAAGCTCGAGTGAGTCGAGTGAGTCGAGTGAGCGCGGGGTGGGCGCTCGGTCGGTGTGTGCCATCTAGTATGTGTGGGGGTGGGGATTGCTCGCGTCTCTGCGGGCTCGAAAGCTAGCCCCGAGCGACACACACGTCGTCTTTTTCCTTAGCGCTTTGTGCGGGTGCGGTTCGTGGCGTGGTCTCTCTCCATCCCTCCCTCCCTCCCTCCCTCTGTCGGCCTGTCTGTCTGTCTGTCTGTTTTGACGTGTGTTTTGCCGTCTTATTAGCCGGCTAATGGCGTGTGTGGGCAGGGCTGGCTGCAGGGCGAGAGAGAAATCGCACGGCACTCATTGACACCAACGCTCTCTCCACTGCTCTCTCGCTGCCCGACTGCCGGCTGCCTGCCTGTCTGTCTGTCTGTCTGTCTTTCTGTGGGTCGATGAATGAAAACACCACTTGCCTGCGAACATACGTCTCTCAGTGATTGAGGAGCTTATATGAAAGAACAGACCCATGATGAGAAGGGATGTGTGTGTGTGTGTCTTGTCTGATGTGGGGTGCGGGGTAAGGTGTGGTGACGTGTGAAGGGGAAGACACTCAGCCGGACAATTACATAGCCCACGAACATACGATGCATACGCAATTCAGCACAAGACAGACACGAGTGAGTCGAAAGTTCGGCGCCATGTGAGTCGCCCGTGATGTGTTTGTCTGTGCTGTAACAATAACGACATCCGCCTCTCTCTGTCTGTCCTCCTCCTACACATAGACATGAGCCGCTGATGGATACGCTCTCATCATGATCGATCACCACACACAGGAAGGGACACACACAGGTGACAGACCGACCGACCGACCGACAGACAGAAAGACAGCGAGAGGGACCTGTGTGTGGTGGTGCGCTCCCTCCGTTTCCATGTCAGCACCGCGGTACGTACACATCACACACGCAGCACTTGGCAATACAAATCCACTGGCCCGACTGACACACAAATACTTGCCCCCCCACACAAACCGTGCGGCCATCTATCACCAAGCAGTCGTCCACAAAAAAGACACAAATGCACAGACACGACAAAACCCTTCGTCCGACCGGAGGGAGAGTGAGTGGGCACTAGCATGCCCCCCGACCTATTTCACCCTCCGTCGAACCCTGCGGCTCTCTGTCGCCCCAGATGGCCGCTTGCGTGACGACACCTGCCTGTCCTGCTTCTCTCTCTTGGTCTGCTCAACCATCTTCTCCCGACAGCGAATCGCAGCTGCCTTGGCCTCGCTGTCACCCCCCCACGAAGACACAGGGAAGTAGCGGCACTGTTGCTTGCCAGACACATCACGCCAGCTGGCCATCCATGCCTTGCTCTGCTTGTGCCAGCTCACACCCGTGTGGCCGCTCTGCCTCTCGCCTGGCTGCTGGATGCTCGCCGCACCGCTCGCCTCCGCCGCCTTGCGACACGCGACGGCCTTGTCGTAGGCCTTCTTGATGCCGCCGTGCTTGTTGATGGGGAAGCTCTTGAACCGCGGGTTTCCGCGCTCGTACCACTGCGCAAGCCACGCTTTGTTGCGTTCGCCGAAGTAGACGCCCTTGACCTTCTTGACACGCAGCTGGTCGATGAGCTTCCGGCTACCGCGGCCGAGACTGGGGACAGTCTGAGCAGAGAGGGAAGGGACGCACAGACCCAATGAGCAAGGCAAGCCACACACATGTCATTCATACAAACTCGCGTACCTTTCGCTGATTGGGCCAGATCTTCTCCATCATCTCCCGCCGCGCGATGGCCGCCTGCCTGGCGCCCTCCTCACCCAACTTGTCCTCATAGAAGTACTCCTGCTTGATCTCGCGATTCTCGTACCATGCCGTGACCCACCGTCTGTTCTTGTCGTCGCGACGCACGCCGGTGATCTCGTTCTTGCTGAGCCTCTTGATGGGGTGGCCGGCCTTCTCGTTGTCTTGCTCGTTCTGCCGGCGACACGCCTTTGCCTCTGCCTTGGCCTTGTCGTAGCCATACACGCTCACGGCGAAGCTCTTCTCTTTCCATTTGCCGCCCTCCTTGACACCGGCAAACCACGTTTGGCGCTGCTCGTCAAAGCGCACGCCTCGGACGGTCGACTGGTGGATGGAGGCTGTCGGCCCGGCCGCCTTGCCGGCCGCCTTGGGCTGCTTGAAGGTGGAGTCGCTCAGATGGTCACCACCACTCCCTGACACACAAACGGCACACACAGCAGTGCGGTGTGCGTCGTGCCATCGGCATGTGTGTGAAAGTGTGTGCATTCGCCTACCAGAGCTCTCGGGCTCATCGTCTTCATCGTCATCGTCTGCGACCGAGAATCGCACCCAAGGTTCGATCGACGCACTCTCATTCTGTGTCTGTTTGTCTCCATCGGGTGGCTGACCATCATTCTCATCATCGTTATCGCCGCTGCTGCTCTCGTCACTCCTGCTTTCGGCGTCGCTCGACCCGCCCTCATCGTCCGACGGGTCGCCACCCACACGTCCACCGGCACCCCCGCCCTGGCGGGCCTGCCGGTGCCGCTCACGGCGGTCTGCAGCGCCAAGCAACACAACCGTTCTTGCGCGCATGTGATCTCCGCATGTGTGTACACATACGGTTGAGGGGCATCATCTCGCTGACCGATCCGGACATCTCAGTCGCACCACCCTGACACAGCAAACCACAGAGGGATCCACCCATCCATCCATCCATTGGTGCAGCTGCTGCGTGTGCCTTGGGGTGCTCTTCCCACCACGTGTGTCATATTATCGTCTCCGCTGCCGACAGTGTCACTATACGTGCCGGTGGTTGGCGCCCGCGTAGACGCAGCACCGATAGTGGAAGCCACCTAATACACACGCACACACACACACACACACACACAAGGCAGAAGAGGGAGAGGCAATGTGATGACACACGACACTCAACCGGTGGCATGCTTGTGGTGTGTTCTTTCTGACCTCAAGCGATGATGATGCATATGCTCCCTTCTTGTCCTTCCCCTCGCCCTTGTCCGAGGGACTGTTGCTTGACAACTTATTACCCATCCTGACGCGTAAGGAGGCAGAGTCAACACTCCTCCCAGCTCTTACGTGGTGACCCGTGAGTCTCAGAGTGGAGCACGATGTGTGATACGGCCGCCCCAGCAGAGATCTGTGGGTTGGGGATTGGCCAGGCGAATTCTGTGGGCGCCCGAGAGAGAGCGGTTTCACGCGAATGTCAAGTGTCAAGACAGACCTGCTTTCCGATTTGTTCGTCTGATTTTGTTCGTCGACAACGAAGGTCTCCATCATTGACAAACGCATACCCGTCCACACACGCGTACGAGTCCACTCCTATCAGTCACTGCATGCAGCCATCCATCCATCCATCAGAAGCTCTCGTCAATGTCATCCCCCACACCACCTCCCTCACCCTCACCCGCAGCCCCACTAACCTCCCTGTCTGCTGCTGCTGCTGCAGCTGCAGCTGCTGGTGCAGACGCTGCGCCATCGCCACGGCTGCCCGGCACACGAGGCTGGGGACGGTGTATATGGTGGTGGTGGTGTGCACACCCCGCATTAGGCTGGAATGTGCAGTTGTCCAGCTCGGTCTTCTCCTTCTGCTCGCGGAGAGCGTCACGCCTGCATCCATCGGGCATCACACACACGTCCTCTTGGGTGCGTGTGTCGTGTCGGCCGGCTGTCTGTCTTACTTGTCGCGCCGCTCCCGGGCTTCCCTGTGCAGGCTCTCGAAGAAATGAGCCCCTCGCGGACGCTACACAGACACGCATATACGCCCACATGCCCGTGTGCTGAGAAGTACATCAAGGGCCCTTTTCTTAATTAAGGAAACGTCTTCACCGCTCCGTCTTTAGGCCCGCTGGGAAGAGTGTGTCGACCACCTTTCTTGCCGGCCGCTGCTGCTCGAGTGGAGGTGCTGGTGGTGGTGGGTTGGGAGACGGTGGCGCGTCTGACAAAGAGGGCGTGGATCGGTATCTTTTGGGCGGCGAGCTCCTTGACCTGGTAGTCCACTGCCTGCTCAAACTGCTCGAACGGCACGCTGCTGCCCGTGTCCTTCAAATACTGAGCAGCGGACAGGGCGCCAACACACACACAGGCCGTCAGGTGGGATGACACGCTCTTATGTGTCTTCCTTCTCATCATCCCACCCACCTCTAGGACAGGCCAGAGTATCTTCTGCAGCTGAGGGTCCACCCCCTCCTTGGCCAGCACGCTCCCCCACCTAGACGAGTCGGCGTCGGCCGTGCCGCCCGTCAGGACGCCGTCGCGGTCGGCGTCGACCGCTCGGAAGAGCTCCCGAAGACGCCGCGCTTTGGCCTCCTGGAACAGCTTGGCCGATGAGGTGTGTGAGGTGCCGCGCATCTCGGCGAGGGCCTTGACCTTCTGCTCTTCCTCGGTGGCATGCTGCAGCTGATGTCCGGATGCAGACACATCCACACGAGCTGTGTCTGGTTGGTTGGGTGTGCAGTTACTTTGGCTTGTTTGCTCTGTTCGCCGAGGCGGTGGAGGAACTCCCAGATGGGCAGCTTCTCGCTGTTGCGACCGTGCAGGGGGGGCCGACCTGCATCCAGCCACATAGAGACACACAGCGAAGGCACGATAAGCACTGTGTGTGGCGTCGCCTGACTGGCGCACCTGTCTTTGGCTTGAAGAGCTCCTGCCCCGTGTGTGGGTCCTTCCCACCATCCGCCAGCTCTGGGGCCTCCTCCCCCCTCCTCCCACCAACACGACTTGACCCACAGAGCCTGACAAACATCACACAGCACACATCACCCTCAAGTGTATCCACCTCAGCCCCCACCCACCTGTTCATCATGGCCTCCAGTGTCTCCCTGGGGCTCCTGCCATCGTCAGCCGGAGGGCTCCTGCTGCCGTTATCGGCGGCCAGTGTCTGTGGCCGGAAGGTGGCTTCGGGCGGCACGAAGGTCTTGTACATTCGGTCTCGTTCGTGCCGCCTGAGTGCGTCCGAGTAGAGGAACTCATAGAGGGGGCCCGACAGCTGCAGCTCGCTCATGCGCGCGGCCACCAGACGGCGAGACCTGATGGATTGCATCGGAGGGGTGGGTGGTGGTGTCTGTGTGGGTGGTTGTGTTGTGTTGAGTACCGTCGTGAGATGTCGGGCTTGAAAGTGCATCCCTCCAGCTCCTTCTTGGCCATCTCTTCGCGGATGCGACTGAGCCTCCGGCGCTTGTCGATGCTCTCGCAGTCGACTGACACACACACAACACACACAGACCATGTCACCACCGGTGTGTGTGAGTGGGGTCGTGTGTGCGTACGTCTGTGCCAGAGCGGCTGCCCCTCTCTCTGCATGTTCTGCGCGGTGCGTGTGATGTTGGGCTTGAGGGTCACTTCCTCCAGCTCTTGCCGCTCCAGCTCCACCAGACGCTGCCGCACAACAAACCAAACCGTACACACAAACAGACAGGCATGAGGGACGGAGGGAGCGAGGGAGGGAGGGCACCCACAGGTGGTGCACGTGTCTGTCTGTCTGTCTACTCAAGTACCTCTAGTCTTTTCTTCTCCTTGATGTCCTGCATGATCCTGCCCCACTCATACAAGCGGCGGCCGACCACATCGGCACCTGAGGGGAACAACACAACACACGAAGGCAACACGACACAGGACACGACTGATGGATGGATGAGCTCGTGCTGTCTGTCTGTGGTCTTTTAGAACACCGGAGCACCTTCTCTAGCGGTGTGTGGCTTGAATCGTGTGGAGTCCAGCTTGTGCTGGTACTCGTGCTCAACGCTACCCTTCAGATTCTCAAGCTGCACATGTGGCCCACACATACACACACACACATACACACACACGAGGCAGATCCCCTCTCCGTCTGTCTGTCTATCTATCTGTCTGTCTGTCTGCTCTCCCCTCCCTCCCTCCCACCTGCACTCTCTTGGCCTCAGCCCTCTGGTAGAGCTTGTCGAACACAGCCGACCTGCAGGTGCCCTCCCTGTCCAGCTTGGGAGACGACCCATGACCACTAGCCAGTCTGGCCTCAGACGCACCCCGGGACGTCGAAGCCAGCCGCGCCCCGCCGCCCTCCCGCGCGCGCCGGCCCCTCTCCCCTTCTCTCGCCACATATGGATGACCGCGCACCGGCGGAGGATTCGACTGTGCCCTTGACGAGGCTCGCTTCTGTGTGGGGCGGAATGGGGAGGGGGAGGCCGCCTTGGCGACTGCGTCGGGCGGCCGGTGGGGCCGCTTGTCTGACTGCTGTGGCCGCTCGGAGGTCTTGGCTCTCTGCCCACGGTGAATGGCGGACTTGTCAGTGGGTGTGGGCTCGACCTCCTCGCGCGACGCCCCTTTGCGCGCACTGGGCCGTGTGGGCGACACCAGCTCAGACGCGAGAATGTGGGCCGCATCGGGACTGGCATCAGCATCAGCATCAGCGCGGGCATCGGCCGGCTGCTGCTGCTGGACGCTCTGCACACTCTGCTCGGCGTGCAGGTGCATCGTGGGCGGGAGGGAGCCCTGGACGGCGGCCGTCTGCGTGTGGGTCTGTGTCTGAGTGGTTGACTCGTGTCGTTGTGTCAGTCGTTGTGCGAGCCGCTCGCGCTTGCGTTGCTGGGACAGCCGGAGGGCCTCCAGGTTCTGCTCGATGTGGGTCGTGAGCGGATCTGCGAAAAATGACAACGAGCTGGCCATCGGGAAGGTGTGTGTCTGTGCTACTCACTGACCAGTGAGGTCACGGTTGAGCCGATGCAGCTTGATGAAGTTCTCGGCGGTCGTTCGAGGGTCATCGCCTGCCACCAAAGGCACAGCGACGGACAGAGTCTCTCTCTCTCTCTCTCTGCTGCTGCTGCTGTGCTGTGAGCTGCCTTATTGTCCAAAAAGGCATCTCATCTCACCTTTCCTGACGTGTATCTTGTCCTGCTTGTCCTTGCCAATGTCCACAGTGACGATGAGCACCACACGCGACGACCGATGGAGCCACGCTGACGGCTTGTCAGCCATGGTGGTGGACCAATAACGTGACAGGCAAGGTCTCTCTCAACGAATGAGTGAGTGAATGAATCCCGTGCTCCTCTCGAAAAGAAGACCACGCCGGCTCACTCTCGTCGTCGCATCTTGCATCGCCAAAGCCTGCATTGCAGCCGTTTGTGCGTTGTATGACGCAGGAGCTGACAAAGATGAAGGGAGCGAACAGACAAGAAGCTCACGCAGAGGCTGTTTTATGAGACGCCCACAGCCCCCCCTCCGAGCTCGCAACCCACGAATTCGCCTCTCCTTTGCCTGTAGCCTGTAGCCGCAGAATGTCAGCCTCCTCTCCACTGGACCATCGTCATCGCAGCAACAAGCAGTTTGTGTCTGATTACTATGAGGCGCTCAACGTGTTCGGAGCCGCACCCACCCAACCGCCCGGTGCTCTCCGGCATATTGTCCGGTCAGCCTGTCACAGCGACGTGACCTTCAGCTGCTGCCATCCTGTCAATGAGATACGCGGGGCGGAGAAGGTGATAGAGAGGTTTTATGAGCCCCTGTTTGCGGCGTTCGGCAGCCTGACGCGGGAGGCCGATATCCTTATCGGCGGTGCGTTCGACGGGGGAAGAAAGGGCGACTGGGTGGCGAGCACGGGATACTTTGTCGGACAGGTGAGAGAGAGTGGCACATGGTGCACGTGACGCACACTCATGTGACCATCTCTCGTGTGTGTGTGTGTGTGTGTGTTCAGTTCCGTGCTGACTACTGCGGCGTCCCCGCGACCCACGCGCCGGCCCGCCTGCGGTATGGCGAATTCTGCCGCATGCAGGAGGGCAAGATCACGGCCGTCTTCCTCATCCTTGACCTCATCGACCTCATCCACCAGGCGCACCACTCCGTCCTGCCGCCCGCACTCGGTCAGCCCCTACACACACACGGCCAGATGACGCACATAGAGACATCCCCCCTGTGTGTGTGCCCTTCATATGTGTGTGTGCAGGCAAAGACGCCTACCGAGTGCCCGGCCCCCAAGCGCAGGACGGCGCGATGGTCGAGCAGATCGCACCCCCCGAGTCGACGGACGCCTCGCTGCAGCTGGTGGAGCGGATGATCTACGAGGGCCTGGCAAAATTCGATGGCGACGGTGACAGGTGCCTGAAGAAGATGGGCATGGAGGCCTACTGGTCGCCTGAGATGGTGTGGTACGGCCCGGCGGGCATCGGGACGCAGCGCGGGATCGACGGTTTTCAGTCCGGCCATCAGCGGCCGTTCCTCGAGGGGTTCCCCGACAGGAAGGGCGGCAATCACGTGGCTCGGTTTGCCGACGGGTCGTATGTGGCGTCCATGGGGTGGCCGTCCATCTACGCCACACAGAGGGGGGCGTACCTGGGCGCCCCTCCCACCGGCCGGCGCGTCACGATGCGCGTCATGGACTGGTGGAAGCGGGAAGGAGACCTGCTGGTGAGCGAGCTGGGCTGAGATGGCACAATTTATTGGTCAAGTCCGTTTGTATGTGTTGTATTGGGCGTGATGTGTTCGGTCAGACTGAGAATTGGGTGTTGATCGACCTGCCCCATCTGTTCCTGCAGCTCGGGGTGGACCTGCTGGCCAACCTCAAGAAGACGCAGACCCACCTCACGCCCCTCCCCCTGCACACCCACAGCCGCCATGTGTCCCCCGCCCTCACCTCCACCCTCACGCCGCCCAATCGGGCCGTGTCGAGCGACTATGAGACGGAGGCCGGGGGGGACAGCCCCACACTGACGGCAGCGAGCCAGGAGAGCTCCTTCTCGGGCGAGATCTACCTCACCATGAACGGCTGTGTGGCGCCACTGGAGTGATTGGCGGGGGGGCGGGGAGGGGATGGTGTATGTATGTATGCTTGTGATGGTTTTGATGCTATGCTGCCAATGGTGTCACGTGTGTGGTGTGAGTTTTGTAAAGTATATTGTTTTGTTGAGAGTGAAGGGCTGCGTGGAGTCCTGATTGGGTGGTGGGGGTGGGCAAGAGGCTGCCTGGTGGGTGTGCAAAGGTTGCTCATGCTGCTGCTGCTCGTGCTGATGCTGCTCGTGCTGTGTGTGATATGTGCAGAAGGATGCCTGTCTGCCTGCCTGCCTGCCTGCCTGTGAGAATGGAGTGAAGTGACCGTGTGTGTATCATATGTGCCACATAATGTGTGTATTCATAATACTACGTGTAACCAACGTGAGAAAGGTAGGTACGTGTGCTGCGGCTGCCCACCAAGCAACTCCGGTTCGCCGGCAGCTGCGGCAGTGGCAGCGAGGCCATTTTTCAGTCTGGTTGCCTGCTGTGTGTGGGGG